GGAGAGTCCAGTGTGTCTGTCGTGTCGAGTGTGTCTCAAGGAGGGCTGAGGAGGAAGTGACTAGAGGTAGGTCATGGGGGGACCTAGACGGTCTTAGATACCAAGCTCGGCGCTTTGGACCCTTTAGACCCTTGGCTGTAGGCAGTGGGGACATAGTCAAGGGCCTAAAGAGTAACATGGTCAGAACTAGAAAGATCTTGGGCAGCTAGTGAGATCAGAAGCACCAGAGGATACACAAACAGAATCGGAGAGACCGGTCCCAGGCCCTGACTCAGGACAAAGGCTGCACGGTTATGACAAAACTAGCTGACCAGCTGGGCCTGCATTCCTCACCCGTTTGGTAATTTTTATGCTGGTTAGCTTCACAAACATCCTCTATTTCGTATGTACGGCCTTTACTACCAGGTGGTAACCTGCCTCTCCTTCAGCCTAGGTGGTTTTACAGTTTCCTTTCCTCATTGAAGTATGAGGAGTTACAGTGCCCGTCCCGCATCTGCTCTGACATCCTGGTATCCACCGCCACACCAAGTCCCCGGGGTTGGACCACAGGTGTGACATCGGTGCCACAGAGCAGCACCCTTGGCTCCAAGGGGGTGGACATGCCAGAAGCCTAATGGAAGGCTCGAACACTGGGGGGAGAGGGCAGGAGGAGTGCTGAAGACCAGAGGACTAACAGCAATCTCAGCTGGTAAAGCCTTCCCCGATCCCCTCCGCCCCACTTACTGTGAGATGCAAATTGTTATGGTAATTGGAGGGGCCTAAACCAAAAGGGACTGGTTAACATGGACACGGGCAGGAACCACAAAAGCTCATGAAAGCTTATCCCTGTGTGCGGAGCTTGAGACACAACCCTACTCGGAAGAAGCTGTTGGGCTTCACATGGTCCCTAAGTCCCCTGAGATTCTGTTTTCTGTCACTATCCACTATCCTCTGACCCCATTGAGGCCGTACAAATGGGAGGGAGGGTCTTGAGGCTGGTACTGAGTATGGGTGAAGCAGGAGGCAGGGAGAGCAGTAAAGAGTTCATCACTATAGCAATGGGCAGAAAAAACAGGCAGGGAGAAAGGAGGGGTTTGTGGGGAGAAGGAACGCAAATCATAGCAGGGACAGTTAATGTTTACTGAGGGTTTGCCCTGTGCCAGGCGCTTTATAGGCCCATGTGCAAATACCAAAACCTCTCCCTCCCACCAATGAGGAAACAGAGGTCTGAAGAACTCAAGCCTATGGTCACTGCGCGGGGAAGTGGCAGAGCTGGAACCCAGGCAGTCCAAGCCGGAAGCTTGCTCCCAGCCCTCCTACCCAGCTGGGAGAAAGACTTTAAGGAAGGGACCAAATGGCCCAGAGGACAGAGTGAGCGCTGAGGCTGCGAGAGGGCACCAGGTAACAGGGGCTGGGCTGGAGCTGGAGCTCTCCTGTTACCTATGTGACTTCCTACCGGTCCCTTCCCCTCGCTGAGCCTTGTCTCCTCATGGGTGCGAGAGAGTAGACATTTTCATACTACCTGGGGGAAGGGAGGGGCAGAGATGGGGACAGGGTGTCCCATTCAAGTAGAATAGCACCACTGTGACCTGCTGTTGCTGGGGGTACTGCATAGTGTTTTAATGGGGCAGGAGGTTCTGTGCTAGAAAACCTGTTGGAGAACCCTTGGAATAGAGGTCTCAGAGGCTCCTACTTCAAGCATTCCTTCTCTCTCATCTTAAATGGGGCAGGCAGTGAACAAAGAGTCAAGATGACAGGAGGGTGTCTGAGGCAGGGGGATGATGGGAGGCTTGAATGCCTATTTACACGAGGGTCAAAGCCAGATTCTACCAATTCTCTTTCTTCCTCTTCTTTGTGTAACAAGAGAGAACAGAGGAAATTCCTAATTTGCAGGTGGGGTATGCTCCAAATGTTTCTTCTTCTGCCTCTTTTCAAGGATTAGGTTTCCTCTCACCACTTTATTATGTGCTCTTTACGGATATCATACAGACGATATTCTTTACTGGAAAGGTCGAGCAAACTTCAAGTTTCTTCATGATTCAGTTATCTGGAAGTCAGATCACACTTTCCCAAAGAAATCATCAGGGTAGAGTTGGAGCAGAATAAATAAGATTAGCTGGGGGAGAGAGAGATAAGGAGGAAAAGATGTTCCTAAGGTGGAAAGGTAACCCTCAGAAAAGAAGGAAAAGATGGAGAAGCAAAAAGACATGGAAGGGGGGTGGTGAGATAGTGATACTGACAAGACAAGACTAGAGGGAAAAAAGATGTAAATATGTTTGGAAAGCTAAAAATAAAATATTTCCGATGTTAAGTTGCAAGTGGGAAGAGATTGGGGGGGCGGTCTCAGTATCCTAGGGAAGTAAAGAGGTGGGTTGGGTGGGGGATGGAGGGGAGGGAGGTGTTGGTTTAGGCCTGCTTTCCCCCAAGTGTAATTCATAGAACGTTCATTGCTTGAGACAATTCTTGGAAAACAGATCTCCAGTCAGCCAAGCTCAGAAAACAGCGTGTACCGAGCAGTTTTGGAGGCTATAACGTACACTAGCACACAAGGCTGTGTAGGAATGAAGCCTGCTTCCCGTTGTTCAATCCAGCATTTTTCAAATGTGGCTCAGAGCTCCATTTCGGAAAGCACACTTTGGAAGAAGCCCGGTCTTATGCAGCGTCCGGTGTGAGCCAGCACGGCGGTGCCACCGTCCAGCTTGGCACCGTCTAGTTGTTCTGCCAGCTTGGATTGGGGCAGGCAGGAGCATCTAGCTGGTACAAAGTACTCCAAAACCTGTTGTATGAAACCTGGGAAACAGCTATATAAATTATGTCATAGGAATTTAAGATCACGGCTAAATTTCACTGGTCCAATATTTGTTTTGACTTTGTAATTGAACGGGGAAGTCTCCCATTCCCCTAAAATATAACATATCTCTACCTTAGCATCCTTCCCTCCAGTCTTCCCTGACCTCAGTCACCTAAATTCAAAAGCTCAGCATCACCACTAATTCTTTTACGCACTTTACTCAAGTATATATTTTAACCTGATTTATATGCTATCTAGCCCACAGTTGTCTATCCTGTGGTCAGGCCGATTTGTGGGAGGCCGTCCATGCTTTGCGTAGTAAGATCTGACAACACTGTGTCTACAGTGTATCCCTCACCTACTGGTATAATAGCTGGGAAGAGAGGAAGGCGATGAAGCTGGCATGGCTTGCTTTCAGTGATTCCCTACTGGCTCCCAGCGATGGTGGCTTCCTCTTCTAGGCGCTCACTGCCATTGTTTTAATATGCTCCTGAATCTTGCCATGATCAACATGTGTTCATTGGCATCAGACAAATGTTCCTTGATGACAAGGGTTTTCTTAAACAAATACTTGTTGGATTGAAGTGGCTTGGATTTTATAGGGCATTTACCTATTCTCTCTTACATTCTCAAATATTCTTCTAAGATGACCCACAACTGTCTGGCTGTCTTGCCTGCCGATTTTCTGAGGGCCTTGGTCTGTGCCTCAGTTGGCCAGGGGACTCAAACAGCCTCGAGGGGTTTGCCTGCCACCTACTCCCCCCACCTCAAACTTCAGTTCCCTTTTAACAGGACTTCCCTACCTGACAGATTCAGCTCCTGCACCTGGCCCTATCACCTCTGCTGCCTTCCTACCCTTGTGGTCAACTTTATCTCTGGGAACATGCAAAGCTCCTCTCTGCATTGAGATGCCCAGCTGAGATGCCCAGATGTCCCTCCAGCCCTTAGAACGCAGTTTATATCCTGGTTCTTCCAGGTCACTCACTGCTCTCTCCTCCCTCTGAGCTTCCAAAGCATTTGGCAACCACCATCCAATCACATACTATTTGGGATTATTAATAAATTATTCCCTGGAAGGGTTCCACTTGGCATTGTGAGGAAGGAAGCCTCCGGACAGACAGAACTGGGACCTTACTTCTTTAGACTCTCTCTGCAGCACTATGTCACGGCAGTGCTCAGAAATGGTCGATGGACACACTGCTATTTCCAGCTTCCCACTGGTCCCAGGAAGGCATACAAAGTCCCTCTACTTTGACGGAAGCGGTCAACTACCAACAATTTTACTATCTCAAGCAGATCCAGAGTTTATCTTGAAATGAAATGGACAGTGAGCCTTTTAGAATTGGGCATACTGTTCTCTTCAGATGAATTTCAATGAACTTTAGTATACAGACAGGGTAAATGTATTATTCCACTTAGCAGATTATAAAAATATGAATTTAGGTATTTTGAAAAACTCAAAACACCAAAGTTACATTCTTAAAAAAATAATAATGCTTCTCAAACACACTGGAAATCAGTTAAGTTATTTTTTAAAAACTGCATTCTAGATCAATCTGATTCTCCAGGTCATGCTGACACGACTTCAAGGCTGACATGTCTTCCACATTAGTTTCATAAGCACGGCTAAGCTCAACACGCATGAATCAGACATGCAGTGAGAAGCTCTCTTTTCTCAGACCCAGCCCAGGGCACATGATGCTCAGTGGCCTACTAATCAGACTTTCCCAGCTATTTTGCTAGGGGCTGGCATTCAGGCCTGATCTAAGGGTGCAATCTCCTGCAGGTGTCCCAGAAGATACAGTTAGACTGGATAATTTCGAAGCTGCCTAAAACTCTGATATTTAAATGGGTGTTTTTATTTTTTTTTAAAGGAAAATACATAGCTACCCAAAGACAGGAAATAATCAGTGCTTTACTTTGGGAGAATTAGGATTGTCATTTTTCTCTCAATTTTGCTGGAAGGGCACTTGCAGCAAAAAGAAAACAAAATACCCCAGCAATTACCCTTGCCTAAAGAGCAGACGGCAAGAAGCAAGCAAGTTGTATGGTATTTAGCTTATCTGCATTGCTTAAGGAGGACGATGGCGGCGGGGTTATAAAATGCCACATGTCTAGTATCACGTTCTCTCTCTTAACCCTCACTACTCACATCCTTGCGTGCGTGTATGTGCGCACATGTGCGTAAACACACAGCCTCCCTCCCTCACTCCAACTTCCCAGACCTCACCTGGTTGATAACATAGATGCCGTAGTCTAACTGCTGACGCTGTAGGATTGGGTGCAAGTAATACAGCCAGTACTTGAGGTGTTCCTGCCGGTTACGGAATGGAATAATGATGGCCACCTTGTGGGGAGAGATGCAGTTCTTGGGGGCATAGCGGCCGCCCACCTTCACCTCTGGGTTCTGTTTCTCCACAAGCTTCAGGTCCACAGGCATGTTAAACTCGATCACCATGGGGCCGACTAGAGAGGTGGAAGGAAGGAGAAGTTAGCAGGCTACCGGGTTCCCCCACGCCACAGCCTCAGAAGACATATCCTCCTGGGAGGCAGTGTGACAATGAAAAAGGCACTTACATCCAGCACTAGCACGACCAACCATCCCAGGAAACCCCTCAGGACCAGGTAAAGCCGGACAGCTGGTCACCCTATGAAGCACTCAACTGCCCATGACCCACTCCCCCTGAGATTCTAGGTTTCTCAGCTCTAACTGGAAATGGAGTGATTGCTGCTTAGACTTCCTGGAAGGTCGTTGTAAGGATCAGAGAAAATGGATGAGAAAGCACTTTTTTAGGAATCCTGAGATTGAGACCTAACTTTGCCACCTCCCAACTGTGTGACCTTGCACAAATGACTTCCATCGACTCTGAACCTAGCTTAGTTGGGAAAAGGTGTGTATGTGTGTGTTGGGGAGGATGGTGTTGTGGAAATCAGCCTCAAATCAGAAGGTAGCAAGAAGTGGTGTGAGTAACCCATGTCTCAGGAAGACACTTGATGCACAGATTAAAAAAAAAACTCCAGGGGTAGGGACTGGAGGAACTGAGACCCAGAGCAGAGTACAGGGAAACGGAGAAGAGAAACAGCAGAAAAGAACATCAAAGAAGAATGCTTAGTAAACGTAGGTCGTGGAGTAACAAAGGGGATGAATAAGAGAGGAAAAGTCAGAGAGGTCCCCCAAGTTTCTAGCCTGGAAGAATACAGCTCCAGATGAGAGAATAGTAAGAGAGCTCTTGGCTTAGAAGAAAAATCGATGAGACGTGGATGGTGGATTCTGAGGTAGTGATAGGTTAGGAGTAGGGGGAGAGGCCAAGGTCATGATCCAGATACAGACATGGAAGTCCTCGTTTCCTGAGGTGGAGCTAGGAGAGGACTGCACTCCTCAGCTAGGGACCGCCCCTCCTGTGGCATGCAAGGCAAGGGCAGGGAAAAGGTAACAGGCCCAGGAACACGCAGGAAACTGGGGACAGAGTCAATACTCAAACCCAGGGCACCTGGGTAGCTCAGTCGATTAGGCGTCTGCCTTTGGCTCAGGTCATGATCCTGGGGTCCTGGGATCGAGTCCCGAGTTGGGCTCCCTGCTCAGCGGGGACTTTGCTTCTTCTCCCTCTGCCTCTGTCCCTTCCCCCATGCTCGTGTTCTCTCTCTCTCATGCTCTCTCTCTCAAATAAATAAATAAAATCTTAAAAAAAATAAATACTCAAACCCAGAGCCCCAGTATTCCCTGGAGGCCAGACTTTCTCAAAGTAGGTTACAGGAAACAATAATTCCAGTAAAACACTCAATGGAAGAACATGTCCCCTGGTCAAATAAGCATACTAAATCTTGCTTCTGCAAAGTATGAGGCACAGCAAAGGCTCTGAGAAGTTGTGCAGTCAAGAAATCCCCTTCACTTTATATAACCTACCTTTTCTCAAACTTATTTGGCCATAGAACCATTCGACCAGAGAACATATTTTCAGAATTGTTACTCTAGCATAATAAGCCAAGTAGCCACAAGAACAAAGGCAACTACAGAATAGAGGTGAGAATTCGGACCACAAACTGGGATCAAGTTCACCTGAAACATGCTCGTGAGACCCACCCGAGGCCCAGCACGCATCACTCCGTTGCCCTATTTGTTCATCAATAATATGTGGCGCTCCAAGCACCCCTTGTGCCCAGAGATCACTCACCCCCCTGAAACGAGCCCCAGAAAAGGAAGCTGTGATTCTTGCTCCTCTTGCCTGTCAGCAGGTGCAGACACCCCACTTCCTCCTCCTCAGCATCCCCTGGTACTTCTCACACCTTCCCGCCCTCCAATGCTGACTCAGTTCCACCATCATTGGACCCATTCCCATCCATTTATTTTCTTCTGAGACGCAGATCTGATCATATTACTTTCCTGCTAAAAAAAACAAACAAACAAACAAAAAAACCTCTGATGGCTCACAGGCCGTGTAGTCTTTAAGAAGTAAGGCCAAACCACTCTGGAAAACAGTATGGAGGTTCCTCAAAAAGTTGAAAATAGAGCTACCATATGATCCAGCAATTGCACTACTGGGTATTTACCCCAA